GGTGATCCAAGTGCTGGAGAAGTTCAAGGATACTGTGTATGACAAGAAAGAAGAAGTCATGCACACCACGTCACTTGGCAATTAATGGATTGGGCCACAAAGTTTGCCAAAAAGTAATCTTGAAAAAATTGCTGCGTGTGCAGTGAGGAAATTTGCTGACTGGATGCGTGTGGTGCCCTATTGGACACGTTCGCCGCCAGCTGTGGGCCTCAGTGTGGTCATTGATGCCAAGACCAAGCAGAAGGCGCAGAAGTTTTACTTGTCCCAGGAGTTCAACAGCATCGCGGCGAACTTCTGCCTGGCCGCTCATCTGGCCAAGAGGTGGGCTGAGGAAGGCCCAGAATGGGCTGACACTCCTGCAGCTGAGAATTTTTTTGGCATGCTTCAAAGGAGCGGTGCTGAAGCGTGGTCGCAATTCCAAGCTGGACCTGCTGTAGACATTGATTGAGTAGCTGCTGCATTTCCAGTTTTTGTAGCTGAATCTTTTCCCGCTGCCATGATCTGATCTACCAGAAGTATCATTTGAGCCGATCTTTTCTAATTTAGATTGTTTTCCACACAGTGGTACAGGATTGTTTTCAAGGAACTAGCGTTTGTAAGAGGATCTAGTCTATAGTCTATAGCTAGTGCTTCCATCCTATACCACGGTGTGCAGCGCGCGTTCTCCCAGATCCACAGACGATCTGGCGCAATAGGGGTGTTTAGAGCCATGCTGCTTTGTGGCTCTTGTTGTTTCCGCATAGTGGTATGTGACAAAATAAATTGTAATCATAGAAAAACATAGAACCTAACATACCACGGTGCGCAGGAGGTGAGCTCCCAGATCTAAGCACGATCTGGTGTTGCAATGTGACTGTTTTGCGGCTAACTTGCATCTGAGGAAAAAAGGGCAACAGTCGTGACTAAGGCTAAGGACTCGGACTTCGCAAGCTACTGCATATAGTAGAATTTGTTCCTGCCAGGTCACATGGCGTTGCCTTCCCGCTGCCAGTTCGATGCTTGCGGCCAGCTGGCGCTGGCAGCTGGCGACTGCAGCTGCTGAATTTGAGGCCCGCTAACGGTTTCTGTTTGACATGGCACCTTGCTGAGTTGCAGCATGGCGCGCCTTCACGTGGACTTGTGCGTTTGCAGCCCCTTTCGGCCCATGGGACAGCGTTGCTCAGCTGCTGCGCTTCGCTGTGGCATCATGGGTGATCGCTACGAGCCGCCGAAAGGTGGCAAGCCACTTGGATGCATTTAAACTACACAAGTTGCAGCGCTTCAATCTACCATGCTGATCTTTGCGCTGCAGGAAGGGCGATGGTGATCGCAAAGGTGGAGATGGCAAAGGCGGAGATGGTCCACCTGGCAAAGGCGGAGATGGTCCACCTGGCAAAGGCGGAGATGGTCCGCCTGGCAAAGGAGGGGATGGCAAAGGATCTGCTGGAGCGGCTCCGCGTCCGAAACAAAGGCCCACCGGGCAGTGGTGCCAAAGTTGGGTTTGGATGCCTTTCTACGCAGGAGCACAGCCTTCTGCGGCTACGCATACTCTTCCTCTCCCACCACCGCCTGGACAACGACGGTCCCGAGCTGCTTCTTCCAGTTCTTCCGAGGAGGACTTGGGTTGACCAAAGTTTTGTCTTTTTATCAGAACTTGAAGTGGCAAAAAACTGCAGGAGGTTCCTGTTGAAGAGACTCCGTTGACTGCGGGTGGGGCGCCGGCGAGCAGGGCCAAGGGAACGTCGAGGCCACCTTCGCCACCGAATCCTCCTGCTCCTAAAGTTCCTCCAGCTGGTTGTGGTTCAGGACTTCCAGGTCTTCCAGCTCCTCACCCTGCTCCCGGTTTCCCGCTGCCTGGCAGTCCCGAAGCTTTCGCGTTGGCGCAGTTTTTGCTTGGACCGCCGTTGCCTCCACCTGGATCTGGTGTTGGCCTCCCTGCAGCGCATCTGATGCCGGCGCCGCCGCCTATGGCAGGCAGGTCATTGAAGTATGATTTTGTTTTCCTCAGGTGTCCAGAAGTTATTATAGTTTTTACCTGTGATCTGCATATCGTTCACTGGCAGGTCCAACGTCAGCGGCTCCGCTGCACGTGCCCTACGTGATGCCGGCTTTGTCCAACCGGACTCCTGGCGCTGGTGGTGGAGAGGCGCGGCGCTCTCCTGAAAGAGACGAGGAGCGTCCTAGCAAGAAGCGCAAGAGCAAGGAGGGTCACGAGGACAAGGGCAAGGAACGTGATCGGGACCGCAGCCGCAAGAGGCATAGGTGAGGGTAGTTCACTGGGGTGGCTAACGAAAACCTCAGGTGCAACAATAGACTAAAGACAAAAAGAGAGAGAGAGAGCTAGACAAAGAACACAAAAGTTGAAAAATGAAAGAACCCAAAAAAAAAGGCCATCCTAGTTCAAACGCGCGGGCTGCACTGGATCGGTGCTCAGACCAGAGAAGGAGGTGGTCCTACTTCTTCCACGTGACCGGCAAAAGATGGAGAAAAAAAAGTACGAGTGAAGAGTTGACTTGTGCAGAACTTGCGTTTTTCCGGTACTTCTTGACGCCCAGCTGCTTTAATTGCTGCAGGCCAGATGGTGAAGCAAGGGGCGCGCTGTCGCGGAGCCCGGCCTGCCGTAGCAAGAGCGCTGCCTGCAGCTCCACTTCCTGCTGCCAAAGTTGCCGCGCAGCCAGCTGCAGCGAGCGCTGCATCGCGGCGCCGCGCAGGAGTAAGAGGTGACCGCTGCATGTTTTGCATGGGGGCATGGGTCGGCTTCCAGCAGCTTCTGCAGCCAGTTTTGTGGACACCAGCTTCTGCGTCCCTCTGCTGCCGTTTTAAGGGTTCAAGATCGATGCATCATATTCATGCATTTTATAGTAACTATAATACAATTACATGATCCAAATTAGACTTGCGACACATTAATTAGAAGCAATGGCGTTTCACCATGCTGTGCCGTCCGAAGAGAGTTTGGACAAACTCGTTCTGAGATTGATCCTGCTCAAGGCTCCCAAGGTTTGGTCCTGAGTTTTACCAGCAATGTGGTCGCGCTAGTGTTTATAGTGTCCTAGCTACATGATCTGCAGGCCTTTATCACCTTAGTGGTGCTGGTGTTCTACTTGGACTCGATGCCGCGTGTCCCAGAGGCAAGGTTCACCAACCAACGGGGGCAAAACATACTGCACATCCTGCGTCAGGCATTTCAGGTGGTGGAAATGTTTGCCGGCGATGGGAGATTGGGTAAGAGTTGTCGTCTCGGTATGAAAGCAACGGCAATGTTCGAGATCAAGTATGGGGAGACGACGAAGAAAACACCCAAAGTTCTTCGCCAAAACTGTTTCGATCTGTGCACGGCTGCTGGCCTAGCGTTTCTGGGCGAAGAGCTTCAACGCTGAAATAGTGTTCCCGCAAAATCGAACTCAATGTTGTCCCTTTGACTCGTGCCAAGGCTTGCCGTATGGGCCCTGCTGAACTGCTCACCTGCAGGATTCCTACTTTGGTTGGCCTGCGTTTGTTCAAGCTTCTCCGCTATGAACGTAGCCACATCGGGGCGGAGTCCGGTGACACCATGGGGCAGGGTTGAATACTTGTACGTGCAGGCCAGGTGTGTGAAAAGTGCACACGTGAACTTGAATTTGCACAAGTGTTTCTGGTATACTATCCTGTATCAATGGTCAGGTTGCCAACTGCTTGGTCAGCCGCTCGTGCTTGCTGATCCTTCTTGCAAAAGCTCTGGGAGGTTCATGGGGCTTGGAACAGCCAGCATCTTCTCGATTATGCTGGTACCCCCGTTTCGAGCACGTGCTCCTGAAGATGAAGACCTACAGGGTTGCGTGGTGGATGCGTCACTATGGCAGCCTCTCCCCGCATCTTTGTCGCAATTTCAAGCCAAAAAGAAATCTGCACTATGCTTACAAGAATCTTACAAGTGTGCAGTTGTCATCCTCTAAGGAAAAGGCACAGGGCTTGGAGCAACACCCGTGCCATCGGTCTTTTAGACCGTGGAAAACTCAAAGCGGCTGCACGCAAACAGTGCATCTTGAAGGCAACTGAAAAGAAACTCAAGAAGGATGGAACCCGCAGTTACTGCGGCACCAAACAGTTGAAACAAACACAGTCTGGGCCTCAATTGTTGCATAAATCGTTTTGATCAAAAGTAATTGGCATCTCCAAGTGTGTTCAGGTCGTACCCGGTGAGCTTTGGGCTGAAGGTCCAGCGCGTCTTGTTGCAGTTGCAACAAGGCAATGGAGGCCCACCTCGAGTTCCAGAAGTTGTGCCAGGGAGGTCTGGCACTGCTTGTGATGCACCGCTGCAATATAGCCGCTTGCAGAGCAAAGACGATTGGCTGGAGGCACGTGTCCAAGAGGTGGTGCGGTATGTGAGGGGATCCCGATACCTTGCCTCCCAGACAGATGGAGGCGAGTGATGCCAACCACGGGATAGATGCCAAAGTTGGAGAGGAAAGTGTCAAAGTTCAGCAAAAATAGATCAAACACCTTCAGGGGCCAAAGGGAAACGGACAGAACCGGAGAAAATCAAATAGAGCATGTATCCCGCAAAAAGTTGCGAGAATTGCACCGGAGAAATTCAAAAACGTACCGGAGAAATTCCGTACCGGAGAAGTTGCGAGAAAAAGCGGAGAAATTGCGAGAAATACCGGAGGTGTTGTGAGAAATTTGAGGTGCGTATCCCATGTATTGATGTGACTATTTCGTATCCCAGTTTTTTTTCATTTTCTAGTTTTTTGGGGTGATGAGTGGGAAAAATGGGTCCCTGTGGCTTTCATTGCTTCTGGCCAAATGATTTTGTGGCTTGGACTGTGTCCAAATAGGCCTGGCGATGACAATTGGTTAAAATTTTAAGGCTTTGCAGCTCCAGCGCTGGTACCTTTTGCTTCAGCAGCACACTGTGATTGTGCCTCGGGATGTGTGATCGCCTCTGCAGCTGTTTTCAGTCTCCAGGGATGGACAAGAAACTTGAGAGTAGGGCTTGGAGTTGCGGAACCTTGCTCTGTGGCGCCGCCCAAGTTGTTGACATGGCGTCTCTTCCTCACCAAGGCGTTGTTGACCGCCATGAGCAGCAGCTCCTGGCAGAGTTGGAGACCTTGAGCCCCGAAGAGCTGCAAAGAGCGTTGGAGGACAACGTCTTCAGATGTCACAGCTCTGTTTGTATCACACACTCTCTCCAGGAGAACGAAGCCCAGCTGGAAGAGCGCTCTGTTTGTATCACACACTCTCTCCAGGAGAACGAAGCCCAGCTGGAAGAGCACGGCTTGAGCGGTCACCTTGGAAGCCTTGCTGGGGCCTGAGTCACCAAAATGTCTTGACCACTGCCTCGTTCCAGTCCAGTCAATTTCCCTCTCAAGGAAACTTTCCTTCAAGCAAAGGCAGAGGAAAACCATCAGGATACTATGGAGGCAGGGCATATAGATGCAACCGGTGCCGGCTACACCGATGCTTTGATTGCAGGCCGCGCCGGGGGAAGCACCTGTGGCATCGCCTGCGGCGGCTGTCTCTCAGGGTGACAAGTTGGCCGCCGCTGTTCCTGTGACCAAAGAAGAGTTGCCGCAGCAGCCTGCAAAGAGGATTGTTGAGGCCGGTTTTTTCAAAACAGTGCAATTCAATCTCACATTGTTTTTTTCTTTGGCTGCAGGCCATGGAGATCGATTCATCAAGTGAAAGCGGCTCTGACTGCGCACCCACTGAATTGGAAGAGGAAGCCGCTACTCCGATGACTGCGGTAAAGACTTGCCCACCAAAAGCAGCGCCAATGCACCTTGCAAGTCCTGCGGTTTCGGCTCCCCCCAAAGCGGCCCAAACTGCACAACAAGGTGCTGAAGACCCTGCTGTTATGCTTGCTTACATGGAGAAGCAGCAGGAGATGCTACTTGCGCAAATTGCTGGTTTGAAATCCCAGGTGGATAAGATGACGGCGGAGAAAGCCTACACAACACCGCCGCAGAAACCTGTGTTCACACCAGATGGCACGACCGCAGCTGCCCTGCCATCACCTGCAGCAAAAGCTCCGCTACCAAAGCTGCCTGGTCGTCTGCCTGCTCCGCCACCAAAAAAGGAACCAACAACACCGGTTCCAAAGCAGGGGGCTGCGCCACAAGTAGCGCAACTGCAAGTTGCAACCGCAGCACCTGAGCCTCCAGTACCTCAAGCTGCTACACCTCAAGCTGAACCACCCCAAGTTGCAAAAGCAGCACTTCAGCGTGCAGCACCTCAAGCTGAACCGCCGCAAGTTGCAAAAGCAGCACTTCAGCGTGCAGCACCTCAAGCTGCTGCACCTCAAGCTGAACCACCCCAAGTTGCAAAAGCAGCACTTCAGCGTGCAGCACCTCAAGCTGAACCGCCGCAAGTTGCAAAAGCAGCACTTCAGCGTGCAGCACCTCAAGCTGAACCACCGCAAGCTTCAAGACCTGCAGCCGAGACCATGGAGTCTACAGGTGTGAAGAAGGGCGAGGAAGAGATTTTGGATGCCTTCGACCTGGACAACCAGGACTGCGTGATGTCAAACAAAATAAAATGCATGCGTGTCACTCGATCTGTTCTGCGCAGGAATTGAGCGAACACGCAATCTATATGAGATTGAAGAGACTTTGCATGCCCACCGGTGCTGGCAAACTGAGCGTCAGCAAGGACATCAGCGACCAGTGGGCAACGGGCGATAGAGATCAGTTGACTCTAGCCCTCGTACAGGCTTTGAAGGTTCACGGCTTCTCCAACACGTCGGCCACGCGAAAGCTCGTACGGGCCGGGTCATTTGTGATCAAAAAGTTTTTTAACAATCGATCGATCCATGCTTACATTGAAATCTAGCCTGTCTTGGGACAGGCGGAGTTCGCAGAGCAGGTGGTGCGCATCCGCGAGCGGTCTCGCCAAAAAGTGGAAGAAATTGAGGGAGGTTGGTTCAGTGAAGAACGCATGGACAAAGATTTGGGATACAGCAAGTTCCTTGTCATACTTTCATATCTTAACTGCTTATTGGATTGGAATCATTATTGTTGATGTTGACTTTTTTGATTTTCTGAGAATAACGCTTTTATTTCTGAGGACGCTGATCAACAAGATCAAGCAGTACTGTTCCCGTTGGAAAACTGTGCTGTGCAGGCATGGTTGCAATTACGCTGGGTCCGGCGAATCTCAATTTTTTTGATCACATTTTCTGCCATGCCAGGAGCAATCGATACGATAGCTCTATTACAGAGTACTTTGTCCAAACCAGCGACAAAGTGAAGATCACCCGCGCTGACCTCGACAAGTGGTGCAGCAGCAAAGCGGCAGGTGAAAATGAGGCCGGGAGAATCTAATATGTGTCACTATATCGTTTGTAAACTTAGCGTAGTAGCGGAGATACATTAATTTCAACGATTCCTCCCTTTGGCGCAGGAGATGCCGGACCAGATGGACATGCCAAGTCTGAAAGACCTCCCTACTGATGAGCAAACCCCGGGAGAGGACGCCGCCATCCCACTGGACACCTTCGAAGCGGTTCAGACAAGCTTGACTGCCTTCATCGACAGCATGCACGCTAAAGCCTCTCAATTGATCACATGGGTGAATGCTGTGGACACTATGGGCACGGACAGAAGCAAACAGCACCCTGCCTAAATTTGGACGCTGCAAAAAATTGTGTCGCTTTCGTGCGCGTGTGGAATTCTTGGAGCTTAAGGTTTGTCTCCGACATGAAAATTGTGCTGGGACAGTTGGAGGCAGGCTTTGAGAAGCTGGCTGAATGCAATCACTACTTGTCAACGAAAGAGAAGAATCTGGACCAGCCATTTGCTCGCACATAGTGGCAACAATGTTGTTTGAACTCTGGTATGGGTCAAATACTGGATTTGTAACATCCAAGGATCAAAGAAGATGTGGCAAATGCCAAAGCTGCCGTTCGGAAGCCGTCGTTTGCCTGCAAAAAGTTGCCAATGTGATATATAAAATATTATGTTGTGGACACCTCTGCTTCCCAGGTGTGTTTCGCTCTTGGCTGCCGAAATGCGGTACAAGCTTTTGATGAACGAGAAGAGAATTCAGGACAAGAGGAAGACCCCTGAGGAAGGTGACGGGGAGGCCCCTGGTGGCACTGACGAGGGCAAGAGCAAATCTAAGCAAGCGAAGCAGGCAAAGAAGGCTACGGAGAACCCAGAGGAAAAAACACAGGCTGTCAAGGAGAAGACGCAGAAGAAGGAAAAGAAAAAAAAAACTGACTAGAGGGTCGCCAAGTTTTTCTCATGACATCCAGTGGCTGATTGTCAAGTCTGCTCTTCAGGGGTCCTTCGACTGCATTTTTCCCTTTGCAACGGAAGTTTGGTTTTGTTTCATAAAATGTTGATCGAACAATGCATGCATATTAAGGACCCTCTCCTACACAGAGCAGCGCGCAGTGAGTGTGGATGGCCGAGAGGTTGCAGCTGCAGGACTGCTACAGTCATAGAATGCAGAAGAACAGGTCCAGTGATACCTTTGGAACCTGCAGCTGCACTTACCGGGCCAGAGACTGAGACAACCGTTTTGGTGTTTGGGGAAGGCATCCCTGCTCAGCAGCAGGTGTGTGTGCCAACTTATGCTTGGCCAATTTGCGCTGGCCATCAGACAGAACGAAGCATCCGGCAAAGTCAAGACAGCATGATGATTACCACTAGTACTTAAATTCGAAAAATAGTAATTGAAAATTTGTTTGTCACGGGATCGTTCTGCAACGTTTGGCCATCATAAGTGATCATTATTCTTCATGGGACTAGCCTGTGATTGGGGAAGTTGGGGACATGGCACCTTCCTGCTCAACAGTGGGCGTGTGCCAATCGATCCCTTGAAAGCTACCAGCTGCGATCGTCTTGTTGGAAAAAAATGCGAGCCTGCAGATCGAGAAACGCTCAGGCAAGTTTGCCAGTTCACAACTCTAATTTTCAGCCTCTCAGGAACTTGTCTGCCAGGCAAGTTTGCGTCTAAGTGCCGCCAGCAACGCGCCAGCCACACTGTCACCAGCCTGGCTCATAGCCTGGGTCGTGGCGCTCCTTTGCGGCATTAAAAGATCGACATACGTGTGTTATTTTAATTCTTTCCCCGTTTGTACCTCCAAGGTGCCGGCTATTCAGCTGCATGAGCATGCCAAAGCTATCTTGGCTGATGATGCTGCAAATGGCTTTCAGCGCAATGATCCCGCGCTTCGACAGATGGCAGCGTCTGCGCATAATGCAGCAGCTTGTCTGCAAAAATAGCTCGTTTGTTGCGTTGGCATTTCTTCCCTTTTACCCCATGGGATGTTTCTTTGCAGCTGTTTTGATACGCATTTTGCTTTGAACATGCGGCAGCCATTGCGCAATCATTTTGCAGCCATTTTCTACTATATTGCTGGCATCTGCTTTGATATGCAGCATGTTTAACAACCCAGCATAGCCATGTGGCAGCCGTATCACAGCCATGATGCACGCCTCACATTTTGCAGCCATGTCGTACCATGCATGTGCTGCATCTTTGATATGCAGCTGCAGCAGGTTAACCCAACGAAGCCGTTTTGCAGCCGTATTGCGGCCATTTTGCAACCATTTCCTGCCTAATGTATTGCAGCCATTTCGTACCATGCACGTGCTGCATCTTCTTTGATATGCAGCACGTTAACCCAACGAAGCCGTTTTGCAGTCGTATTGCAGCCATTTTGCAACCATGCCTGGGCCGAACGTATTGCAGCCATTTCGTACCATGCATGTGGCGCCTGCTTGTATCCAGTGTATTTGACAACCCAGCACAGCCATTTCGCAGCGCTTTTGCAGCCATGTTACCACCATTTCTCAATCGAACGTGCTACCGTCATTTTGTGCCCGTCGTCCACCCAATCTGCAATAATTTTCGCAGCCATTTTTCATTGCTAGCAGCCTGCAGCTAACCCTTTGTTGTAACCATTTGTGCAATCATTTTTCTTGCAATACTTATCTTGATTTAGATCCGAGGGTACATGCATGCTGTTTGCAGAGTAATCAAAACATTCGCCAGACCCAATTTTACTAAGGCCAGATCTTGCTTCCAAGTTGTGGAAGACGTTGGTCTGCGCGCCGATGTGGAGGAAAGCTTTGGCCAAGTGGGAGATGACGCTCGCTTTTTGGCTGCAAAGGCTGCCTGAAATGAAAATTACAGCGTCGCTGCAACCATCCCCAGCGCAACCTGTGAGGATATCCATTTCTACTACCTTCGCAAATGATTCGGGCCCTGGACCGTGCGGGCCGCTTGGACTTGCTGCTGCCTGACAAGTCCCTGGTAGAGTCCACCAAGCAGTTTGCCACCTATTGGTGCCGTTTCCAAGCTCAGTACCTGCAGCACCAGATCTTTGAAAAACTTGGCCCCAACGAACTTCGGCTGACCGTACCGATCAAACTACATGGCGATGAGGGGCGGAGCCACTGGCCATGCAATATGCTGACAGCCTGTCTGCTGGCTGCTGCAGAATTTGTTGTGTTGTAGTCAAAATGCAATTTCAATCTTCGCATGTCAGGCAAGAAGAAGCTGCCGATAATGCTATTGAATTGGCAGCCGGTGCTTGGCAAAGGCACCAGCAAGTCCCTACAACAGCCTTTGGAGATTCAAGCGCAATCTCAGCGGCTGAACATGTGCCTTGATTGCATTTGCATGAAATAATGCTAGCGCTGAACATGTGGTTGAGCCTGCTCAGCTTCGTGATGAATCAGGATGGGAGCACCTGCCACTTGACTACAATATGCGTGCATGATGGAAGCATGCAGCCGTTGCACGTTTCCGTTCATGCCTCCGTGCCTGCTACACGCACTGAAGGAAATCACTCGCTGGCTGACCTTCGCAGCTCTCAAAGAAACCTACGAGCACAATCCGGCCACGCTGGATCAGGCGATGCAGGTTGTGCTGGATGACTTGCTGTTCCTGATGGAGACCGGCGTGAAAGTACGAGTCGGTGAGGTGTCGGTGCAGTTGCGCACCGCGGTTTGCGGTGTCAAGGGCGACTGGCCGTTCCTGATCTCATGTGCGCATTTGAGACGTTCCTTTCGACGTCAACCCAAACGGGGCGAGTCGACTTTGAATTGTGAAGGAATTTGCCACTACTGTTTAGCAGGGGTTAGAGAATTTCCCTTTACCGATCTCAGTGATACGCCGCTCTGGGAGCGTACTATGGGTTCAGCAGCAGGCATCACTCCATGGGACAGCCATTCGCCCTGGCACGACCTTCCTTGCGACGCTGCCAACCCTCCGTCGCAATTCAGACCGGATTTGTTTCATAACTTGCACCTGGGCGCAGGACGTTACTTCCTTGCGTCCACCCTTGTGGTTCTCCAGAAGTTTGAAGCAGGTGGAGGAGTCGATGCCAGGATGCAAAATTTGACAGACAAATGGCTGGCTTTCTGTCGCGCACGGAAAGTTTCTCTGCGGCAGTATTTTTTGAAGTTTGTGTGAATTCATTTGGGCGCTCAATCCATGTTTTGCTACGGTTATTACTTAGGAGAGGCCCTACTTCAAAGCGATCTCCAGGATGTCGCTCTCGTGGAGGTCAAGCCTCGAGACGCCGGAAGGCACTTGGCAGAAGGGTGCGACTACGACTCTGCTCATGGACCCTGGGGCCGAACATCATGCTTGTCCCAATTATGTTCAGCTGTGGGCCTGCAAAATTTCCAATTTTTGAAATCCCAGGAATGGTTGGAAGAGATGCTGACCGATGAGCAGATAGAAACCGCTGCTGCTGAAGATGCCCGCGTTCCTTTCATCGCCATAGCTGTGCCACTTGGCTGCTTAATGATGCAAGCATGCTCAGCTACGCTACCATGCTATGCTCCGCTGCCATGCTCTGCTCTGCTACCATTCTATCCTCCGCTACCATACTCCGCTACCATGCGCCAATACACCAGCCGTTTTGATGCGCGTGCCAAGGCGCCGCATGAATGCTGCTTTGCGCTTGCTCTACAGGGGCGGGGCATGGCTTGCAGCTGATGAGGCGGCGCTGATTGGTGAGCATGGACTGACCGCACTCCGTGCAATGCAGCGGTGTGCAGAGATTTCTCTGGCAAACAGAGAACCTCTGTACCCACTACATGCCAAAATGCACATGCTCTTCCACCAGTTTCGATTTCTGTGCCAATACTCAAAGAAGTGTTGCTGGGTAGAGTCCCCCCTGACGGATGCGTGCCAAATGGATGAGGGGTTCGTTGGTGTGGTGGCACGGCTGTCACGGCGTGTGTCGCCAAAGACCACAATCCGACGAACCCTAGATCTGTACCTGTGCTTGCTGCACAAGCACTGGACGAACCAACCAGTGCAGTCCGATGAGGTCTGAAAAAAGGATGCAGCAAGCGATTTGTGCAAGCAAAGGGGTCCGGGTTCTGCTTTCCCTTCGATGATGTGCTTTAAACCATTTTAAACCGCTGCTAATCTTCATTGTCCCTGGGCCAGTCTGTGTGTGCTTATCAGGTGAATCATATCCAACACGATATCCCAAATCAATACTTGTAAAATATTACAAAAACCAAAACAATACCGGAGAAAATGTAATTAACCAGGAAATACCGGAGAAATTGCTTTGGAGCAACTTTTTCCGGAGAAATGTAACTTTTCCCGAAAACAACCGGAGAAATGTAGGAATTTTCAAAAAAGGTACCTTTTTTGAAATGGTGTAACAATTCTTACGCTTTTGAGTTAGCTGGTATATAACATATATAGCTATATTGGAGTTGGTGGTTTCCATATATTGGGAATACTAATCCCAACTGACTCATATTTTTCAGAGGGGTGGGTCAACCACCAACCAGATTATTATTAACCATCATTAACCATCATCATAACCATATATATATATATTAACCATATATTAATAGTATATTAACCATCATTAACCAGATTATATGTTCGGGTTTCTTAAACTGGGGGGATCCCCAAGTCACCAATTCAATGAATCGCTGGGATTTCGAGGTGGAGGAGCACGACCGGAAGAAGAGCATCGAAGCTCTGTGCCTCTGCCATTAAGAAAAAAGGGAAAAGGTGAAACCGTGGGGATTTTTAAACGCTAAACATGGGGATGAAAAATGGGATTTAATGGGACTTAATGGGACTTAATGGGACTTAATGGGACTTAATGGGATTTAATGGGATTTAATGGGATTTAATGGGATTTCATGATATTTAATGGGATTTAAGCATGAAAGGAGATGAGTTGTGTTTCAAAAGTGTTGATGTACCCATCAAACATGATGATTTTGCCATCAAATTGCTGATTTAACCGTCAAGAATGAACTGGTAATCCTGGGATACCCCGTAATACCCCGTGGTAATTTGTTTACAGTTGCAAACTGGAGAAGCACCATTTGTAAAAAGTAAATCATCGAACTAAATGGGCAATTTTCCATACTATGTTGGATGACCTGCGGGTACTGCAAGGTTTGCATAATCTCACCCCAGAATTTCCCCCAATCACATGGAATACTACCGGTGTGGGCCCTCAAAATGATTAGGAGGGGCTAAGGGGGTTCTTGAATGTTGTGGGAAGAGGGTTGACCGATAAAGCATCAAAAACAGTTAATAATCCCTTAATATAAATACACATTATTGGCTAGTCTTTATCCTGAAAAACATGTTTTTCTAGAAACAATCCAGATGGGGGGAGAAAGCAAACTAGGCATTTGTGGGGTTTTCCTACCATTTATTTCCATTTATTCATTCATATGGTGGAGTCCTGTAAAATAGTCTTTAAAACTATGGGAAAATAGCAGATATTGCTGATTTAAAACCACCATGAGTTTCCAACAAAGGGGGTTCTGTCCAACAAATTGGGACCGGGATATCGGTACCGAAATGCATCCCCAAATCCCATACGGTTTATATACACAACTATGAAGTGTATTTAGATTTACCACGAGTTGCAGTATGTTTGTAAATTTAGATGATCAAATGCCCTAGTTTATCATGATTCACCTCATTTTCTACTGGCCATAGATTGGAGTGTACCGCATTAAACTGGACCGATGTCAAAGCAAGAAACACAGATCAGTTGATTTCTCAATATTGTGTTTTTTCCCCACCTGCCAGGTGAGGGTTGTTAGATTTTATCACAGTTGTTCTCCTCCTCCTCCTCGGCTAGCTATCCTCCCCTGCTCCTCCTGCTCCTCCTGCTCCTCCTGCTCCTCCTGCTCCTCCTCCGCCAGCATCTCCTCCACCACCTCTGCCTCCACTTCCACGTCCACTGTTGCCTTGCCAACTCTTCGCCAAGCTCTTCGCCAACGTCCGAGCTCAGTGTGCACCGCTGGACCTCAACCTGGGACCTTCCCAGCTCAGTGGGCACCGCTGGACCTCAACCTGGGACCTTCCCAGCTCAGTGTGCTGCCCAGCTCAGTGTGCACCGCTGGACCTCAACGGCCAGATAGAATGCCAGAAGATATGCCAGATAGAATGTCAGATAGAATGCCAGAAGATATGCCAGATAAAATGCCATGAGATATGCCAGATAGAATGCCAGAAGATATGCCAGATAAAATGTTAGAAGATATTCCAGATAGAATGCCAGAAGGTATGCCAGAGAGAACGCCAGAAGATTTGCCAGATAGAATGCCAGAAGATTTGCCAGTAACAAATCGATAAATGTCATGGTGGGAATGACTCGAAGTAAAGTATTTTTTTGCGGCTTCATATTATGAAAGTTTCCTGAAATGGGGGGTAGCGTCAAATCATCCAGTCATTAGACCATTTTTTTTTGTGAAACCAATGGTGACTGAGGAATCCCGCAATTTCAAGAAATCCATTTCTTATATATTGTTGGTAAAAACCTCCAGAAAAAACTTCCATTTCAAGAAATCCATGGTTTTATCTCTATTGTTGGTTTACCATGGTTTTTACCTCCATTTATAGTGCATTTTCCATCATTTATTGGTCCCAAGATGTTCCCAGGCAGCAGATGGCCACGAATATCAGGCTCTTGCTCCAAGAGGCTGGGCCTGGAAAGGGCGGCTGGCAGACCACAAACAGCAGATCATGCGGTTTCCAACGAGGCTTAACAGGTTTGGATTTTTATGGATTTATGGATTTAATTGGTCAATATGAATATGATAAATATAAATATAAATATATATATATATATATTATATACGTATTATATATATTATATATATATATACTGACTGTATCTATCAAGACTAGATAGTTTGGAAAATGTACTTATTTTTAGATAGGTGAAACTAAACCAACCAACATAACTGAGGGGGACCTTCCTTTATACAATATATGATATATATATATATATCACATATTTGATACATATGTAATACTGTAGGGCACGTTTTATATTTATCTATGCAGATATTTTAAATTCTGTGAATAGACGTGGATGCCCAATGGCCATAAGTTTGGTGCTTGGCAGTAGAAATTTCACGTGAACTGGGTGGATTGCTATTGAACATGGCCATAGAAATAGTGGATTTACCCATTAAACATGGTGATTTTCCATAGTTATGGTGATGTTTTCCAGAGGGTACCTTTAGACGTTTGGTTCTAGTTCGAATGCAGATTCAGTATTCCTCCTTGCGTACGGTGCCATAGGGAATTCCATTGTATTGATTCCGTTGTTGACTTTGTTTAAAGGACCATTTACAGGAAACAAACATATTTTATGAAAAACATCCTACACATTCAGTGCGTTTACCTTAAAAATCCTTAAGTTATTCCAGTGATTCCGCCTTGCTTTCAGCAGTGACAGCAGCGAACAGAGGTCGTGCCAGAGTTGCTCCACGGAAGAGTCACTTGGACACCATGAGGGCTCTGGTCAAATTTTCTTGGGGATTTTACTAATTATTGTCACAGATGGGTAGAACATATAAATCATTGATTGGTTTAAGGGAAAATCTACAGGAAATCATATGGTTTTTAACATTAAATATAGGGGGTTCGTGTAATTTTTTCCTTAAACCAATCCAAGGAATAAAACTATTCGTGAACAAAGGTATCACCATTTAGCTGTTTTTAAATAAGCAAAACATACTCCATCCCTAGGGGTTTCGTGGTCCCGAAGGACTTAATGATTTTGAAATGGTCCAAATTTGGCACTACCAACCTGCTCTTGATGGTAGACTTTTATTTTTTTCCCTCCATCTTTTTTTACTGCCAATCCCATATGTTGAGTATGGTTCAAAGTTGCAATCCGAGGAAACCTCTGATTGCAGACACGTTTGGTAGTAAGCAGTCCCAACATTTGCGTCCCTGACGTTTGACTCTGATACCGGAGATAATGTAATCCGACCGGATGGATGTGTGCATGCGTGCATACCCACAAAAAGTGTCACCCTGCAGTATCAGTTCCAATAAGTATGTGAGAAATAACAATATTATACATACCCCAGTCTGATGTATAGAATATCCATATGAATATCCCCAGTCATGTGGGTTAGATAAAGATAAAAAACCACTTCCTAAGTGGGATGTACATCCAAGAGGGGGACCGAGTCTTAACCAATGGACCCAGAACAGATTGGCCAGTTCTTGGATGACCTAAACCATACCAATGTTTCATCATGTTTTCGAAGTTGATGGTTTATACCTGCAAGATAGATCCTATACCATCTTCATCCCTCTTCTAAATTCAACATAGCTATGGAGAATCATCATTCTTGATTCATAGGTAAATCATCGAACTACATGGGCCATCGAACTAACCATGTTTTTCATTGCCAGAGTCGCTGCGTCTCCAAGTCATCCTGGTTGTTTCCTGGTGAAATCATGTGAAATCCCATGTTGCCGGTGGCTCATCATTTGGGTAGGTAGAATCCCTACTCTTGTTGGTCTCATCCCTCATTGGTTCTCTTTCCAAAGATCTCCCAATTGGATCCAATTGGATGAGGAGAAGTTGCTGATGAAGTCACCATGGTTTCTTCTAGAACAAAACCAATCCATTGATCATCATAGTTCATGGTTTTAAGCATCCCGGTAAATCCACCATGAAATATCATATAAAATCATGCTTTTTAATGCCCAGGCTGAACTGCCTGAAATATCCATAGTATTCCATAGTTGCCATAGAAATCTTGGTTTTTGAATAGCAGCAAACACCTCCATTCATCGATAGTCGTGTTTCATATTTTTCCCGTGGAAGCCTCCGTGGACCTGATGGATAAAACTAAGGACAACAGCTCTGCCATGGACATCGACACCCGGCCCTCCAACAGGTCGCAGGCGGAAATTCAGAAAACCATATGGTTTTTGTAAAGAAAGGCGATTGAACCAGAAAAAATCGGATTTAAGCATCAAATGATGATTTAACCGATAAGATTGTGATTTATGACTGTGATGTACTCAGCAATATTCAGCAATAATCAGCATGGACACGTTTGTAAGTTGACTGTAGATGGGGGATTTGACCAACAAAGATTTGGGACATGGGATGAAATGATGGAGGATTTATCCAACTAAAATAATGGTGGATAACCGACCATGTTTTGGGGATCTGATTGAAGATGTAATCAATCTTCTGAAGATGGGGGATTGACCCGCGAAGTTAAACGCCATGTCAATAGGGAACATGATGATTACACTAATCAGTGATAATCAGTGTTCATTTTTATTGGAGACACAACCAACTCATCATGGTTCGTCCTTGGAGCACTGGTTGATACATATCGGAGTCCCCCAACAGTTTCGAAAATTATTCGGTTTTGATATGCCACACCGAGTCTGAAGGGTGATTGGAATGTCATTGAATGTGGTGGCAAAATGTTCGTTCGTGGGAATTGTCATGGAATAGTTATGAAATCGTTAAGGAATTGTAGAATCTTTTATGGACTCATTTCTGAGACTTGAACGGCTTGAGACACTTTTGGTGTTGCAACCATGCTGATATGCGAATACTTTTCTTGCAAACAGATATCGCAAAGGCTCGATGAGAGCATCAAATGATCAAACAAATCGACATGTCTTAAACTGGGACATACCCCCAGTCAAAAAGATGATGGATAAATATGGCCTGTGGAACTTCAGATTTGGATGCTCATCCCAGCCGTAAATAGCTTCGAGTTGACCGTGCTGGAGCCCCAGATCATTCCGGCAGGCCACCTATGCGCAGAAGGTCTTACTGAAGCTTCAGGCGGTGGAAGACTTCCGAATCAATCCCTATATGGAGCTTTCCTAAGGTACCCAGTACCCCCAATAGCTGGATGATTTATCAATGGAAAATCATGGAACAACTTATCAAAATACGGATGATGACTAGGGATACCCATGGATACCCCCATTTATGAAAACCATGTGGTAATCAAACATGGGTGGAAAGTCCCCGTGGTAATTTTGAGCGATTTTTCGGTGGGTTTTTATCATCGACGCTGGGGGGTGCTGGGGGGATATCCCGATAGAAACTTAGCATGAAGAGAAACCAACATTTGAAGACTAAGAGGGAAAATGAATCCGTTACCATTTAAGGATCCATTGTCGGTCACGAAAAAACGAACTGGAAAGTCACAATTTTCAAGAATGGTAAAGCATAATGTGTATCATCTATTTCCATCGGCCACGGCTTCCGTATATAGCTATCTTGAATAACCACAAGGTAAAGGGAAACCGATTCAAACCGACGGAGTCGGGGTTCACCAAAATGTTTTCAATGTATCATGGTCACCCATGTGTTGCAATGTACCTGTTGAGAAATCTCCAAACAAATGGTTTCTTCGTTGGGATATACGAACTTCATTAATTATGATTAATCTCGAACAAAAATTGGGTATCAACCCGCGAAATGTCAATCCGCTGGGGTTTTGAACATGATTTTTTTTCCGGAATCCGATCAATATTTGGATGAAAACAACCACCATGAACCAGCCGAAACTTTTCCGCGGATGCAAACTCGTTCCACCATATCAACATGTCGCAAGCGTTTGGTTTAAAATGTGACTCGACCAATCCTTGGAGACCAGGAATCGTCCATTTCAATAGATATATTCAAAAGAAATCAAACAGATGGAACGGTAAACTATAATAAGTGCTAAAAATATTTTCTATATGTTTGTTAATGGTTAGTTAAACAATATATATGGGTTTGTTTGAGAATAGTGCACCCCATATTCCAATGAATTATCATCATGCTGCCCATTATTCAATTGCTATTTGCGGGTATCCCTTATTTTAAGACAAAGCCATACATGTGTATATATATATATAGAATATGTACATATGTACATGCTATTTATATTATATACCCTATATATATATATACCCTATATATATATACCCTATATATATATATATATATACCCTATATATATATACCCTATATATATATATATATTTACCCTATATATATATACCCTATTTGTATATATATATATATATATACCCTATTTATATCCCAATGACTGCGCATTGAACTGCCTCCAGACCTATTCGGCCTGGGCCTGGCCTGTGATCATCGAATACACCAGGTGCCCTCCGCATTGCGAAAGCGCGGGCCATCGGGCCATGGGGATGGGCGCCCATCCACCAGTTGATAGGTCACAAAAAATGCCATGATTTATAGGGTTGAAATACCATCCTTTTGGTGGTGCAGGATTTCTTCCCTCCACAGTATATATGTATATTTATATGGGTACGAGTCAAAATACAAGGTATGGATCAAGGCCCCGAACCCACACAAGATCCATACCCCCCGATCCATACATTGATCTGCTGGCCCTAATGCTGCTTTTTATCCTAATACTGCTTCTAGTCCTCGTACTGCTACTCCCGTTGCTACTACTGTTGCTACTACTGTTGCTACTACTGTTGCTACTATCGTTGCTACTGCTGCTTCAGCTGCCTCCGCTGCCTCCGCTGCCTCCGCTGCCTCCGTGCTGCTGCTGCTGCTGCTGCCACTACTAGTCATCTTCCTCCCAGGAGCTGCTGCTACTGCTGTCGCTTCTGCTGCTGCTCCTGCTGGTCCTGCTCTCGCTGCTGGTGCTGGTTCACTTCCTCCGTGTGCTTCTGGTAGTTGGAGAAATGCAACTAGTTGAGTAGCTACTACCAATATTGCAAGCGCACCTTGGAGGCTAGTAAGACCGGTTCTAGTTCCACTAGGTGCTTCTTGTACTTCTAGTGGCGCTATGATTACAACTCCTTCTGTTTCTGCTTTGCCTGGCACGTGTAGAACTAGACTAGACTTGAAATACCCCGCTTTCTTCCTTCACAGCCATAGCGTGAAAGCCGGCCCAGATAGCGTGTCCGGATCCATACCCCGATCCATACCCGTTCCATACCCGATCCATACCCGAACCCAGTCACGCCACAACAAATGCCAATATGAAAGTCCGGTTCTATTACTACTTCTACTGCTGCTGCTGCTTCTACTACTACTACTACTATTACTACTACTACTACTACTACTCCTCCTCCTGCTGCTGCTGCTGCTATTCCTACTCCTACTACTCCTAGTACTCCTAGTACTACTGCAGGTGGTACTGCTGCTACTACCATTAGATTACTATTATTTTTATTATTATGACTTTTACTAGTACTACTGTTACTGCTACTGCTATTTCTACTGCTGCTGCATCTTCTCCTTCTATTGCCACTACTGCTGCTGGTGCTGTTTTTTCTCTGCTCCCTCGACAAGCAGTGGTAACAGTTTTAGCAGCAACAGTAGCAGGAGGAGAAGTAATAGCAAGTCGGGGAGTATCAGCACAGTTTGTATGCTATGATGAGCCCTTACGAAGGGGTACGGATCAGGCACCTTACGTAAGCACTCGCGATCCATAGTACGGATCACCGCGGAGCGATCCATACCCGATTTTTGACTCGCACCCATATGTGTATGTATGTGTTAATTATAATTTACTATGTGTGTATATATATATATACATTATTTTATTATGTTTTGATGCATGCAGCTGCATGCATATCATTCTATCACTCATACACATGACTTGGCAAAATGATGATAAACATGGGGTGATTTACAACAACATCAATAAATGGAAACATGATTGTAAGTCTTGGACGAAATGATGGTACACATCTCATAATTACATGGAGCATTTGCATATGAAAATCACCATGACCCCCCAAAATGGGTACCAATGTGTACCAATGATCAAGGTTAGTGAACTCTGTGATGAGTTTATCAGAGCTGTACTACATAGTGACAGTGGAAGTTCCAAACGCCTCTGGATACGCGCCTCTGACAGTGTCGCCTGTACCCATCATGTTGCGCATTTCACCAACCCAAAATTGAGATATAGCCATCAAATATCAATATGATGAAAATGCTCCACATGGAATTCCCCGGAAATTTCACTTCAAAATTCATCAACATGGCAATTTGAATGGAAAATGTGACGACAAATCCTTGGATTTTTGGGGACAGTACCATTTTCCTGCGTTGCTGAGGAATGCTTACGATGACGAGGCAATCACACCAGAGATCCAAGCACGTGCGAGACCCAAGACCCGATAGTTGCCACTGCCATTGATGGTGAACTTTAGGGGCCGTAAACTCCGTAAACCAATCAGAACCAAGCCAGGAACTTCCATGACAAGATCATCACAAGCCTTCAATTCTTTGTTCCCAAAAACGGATTTGGGTGGTGCGTTCAACGGCATGGATAACCACATATATATATATATATACATATAGGTTAGTTGAGTTGACCGAAATCCCAAAACTCCCCTATGAACTAGCCAACATACAGGTTGAACACCGGGAAAGTCAACTATAGTCTCAATTTGACGAATTGAGGTTATCATAGGATATCATAGGCTATTCAGAGAAACCAATTACAGTAGCAGGTTTGCGGAGGAAGCAGGGTTACAGACCGTTTTTGTGGCATATTCATGGAGGTGACAATGTGTTGCAAACCAAGCATACTAGCTTATGTATAGGCATTTGGGCCTAATTGCATTTGGGTATTGTATTTTTGCTGCTGTAGCAGTCTGTGCAAGCTCTAATGATTCACTAGTGTGAATTGAAGAAATGTGTCGGAACCCTACAATGGGCGGAACCCCAGTCAACTTTACGCCAGAAGATTCCAACTAGAATAGGTTGTATTCACACAAGGGGTTGAGTTGTATTCACACTAGGCTAGGTGGCTATCGGGTATATGGGTTAAATCCAGAACTGTGAGCAATTCCGCCCCTTCCCCCGCTTCCGTTTTTATTTTTTTCCCGTTGTTTTCATCCAAAATCGCTTTCCGGAAATGCATCTCTTTCCCCTGCTTCCAGCTTTCCAACCATTGCCCCACTTCCAGTAAGTACACAGATTCCTCCCGTTGCTCCGCTTGCACCTTTCCTCCCATTGCCCCGATTATCAACACTTCTGTCAAATGATTCAGCTCACCTGCGCTTGCCCCGCTCTCCTCTTTCCACCCTCTGTCCCGCTTGCCACAGACATACTTCGAAACCACCCACAGCCCCGCTTCTATTGGTGGCAAACAAAAGCAGCTAGGTTTTCCATCTGTTTTTCTGGATTCTGAATGTTTTTTGGATCAGCTGATCCACCTTCCACCTGCTGCCCCGCTTCCACTGTAGCCCCGCTAGTTCGTTCGACCAAAGCTGGGAAAAACACTTCAGAAAATGTGGTGCGGTATAGCATCAATCCAGAGTGGTTGTTGGTTCCAAATCAGAAGTACAGAGTTTGCTAGGTCTAACTGATGATCTAAGTCAAATTTGTTTTGGCATTTGAAACCACCTACCCGGCAGCTTGCATTCACTCTTCAAAGAAAGGGTGTCGACACGACCTCGTCAATGCCCAAAAAGCCCAGATCAGCCTTATCAAAACATTCTTCCCAGTGACGCCATGTAAGAAACAAACCACATCCCGAATACCAAATTATTTTTTGGAATATCGACTTGCTGGCTCGAATTCGTAGTTTACTAGAAAAGAAACCCTAATGGTTCATTTGGCAGACTGAATTGCAGCTGCCATTGTTGTTTGCGTTAGGTCCGTTAGGTAACTTTACTGATGAGGAACTGCACAACTGCCATTCACATGCAAATCCACCCCCAGCCCCGCTAGTTCGACCAAGCTATCCATGGCTATCCATCATGGGACCTGAACTCAGGTATGGAGCGAGGAACTGATGGGTCCCTGAGTTATTTGAGCTCCGCGGCTGGGCTGCAGGCTCTGTCAGTTCCATGTCAGGTCGGAGGTCGTTTTTTTGCCACTGAGGTTCTGGTGTATGCCTGGAAAGCAGCCGAATTCCAGTTCCTTGCTGAGCGGCATTTTTCGGGCAGGGCGGCAGTTCTATTCTTTTTGATTAGGGAACCAAAAAAGAGGAAACAAATTCAGGATGTTGTTCTCCCATGTTTTTGACGATCAGGGTGGAACAAAATAATTACTTTACTTCGTGTGATCCCCACCATGACATGTCAGGACATGTCAGGACGTATATTTGGACAAATCTTGAATATATTCTGACATTCTATCTGGCATTCTATCTGGCAATCTATCTGACATATATTCTGACATTCCACCTGGCATTCTATCTGGCATTCTATCTGGCATTCTATCTGGCATTCTATCTGGCATTCTATCTAGCATTCTATCTGACATTCTATCTGGCATTCTATCTGACATATGTTCTGACATTCTATCTGGCATTCTATCTGGCATTCTATCTGGCATTCTATCTGGCATTTTATCTGGCATTCTTTCTGGCATTCTATCTGGCATTCTTTCTGACATTCTTTCTGACATTCTATCTGGTCGTGGCATTCTATCTGGCATCTGGCATTCTATCTGGCAGGCATGACATCTGACTGGGCTGTGGCATTCTATCTGGTTCTATCTGGCATTCTATCTGGCATTCTATCTGAGGCATTCTATCTGGCATTCTATCTGGCATTCTATCTGAATCACTGGCTATCTGGCGTGGATGGTCGTGGTTGAGGTCCGGCAGGGAACACTGGGCGTGGGTGGGTCCGGCAGGGAACACTGGTTGAGGTCCGGCAGGGAACACTGGGCGTGGATGGTCGTGGTTGAGGTCCGGCAGGGAACACTGGGCGTGGATGGTCGTGGTTGAGGTCCGGCAGAGAACACTGTGGATCGCGGGTCGCAGTTGAGCAAGGACGACGAGGACGACGAGGAGGACGAGGAGGAGGAGGACGAGGAGGAGGAGGAGCAGGAGGAGGAGGAGCAGGAGGAGGAGGAGGAGGCAACTGACATAAAATCTAACAACCCTCACCTGGCAGGTGGGGAATAAGGAATTTTCACATCCACATGTTTCTGAAGTCCTTTCAACATCTTTCAAGTTAGTTGCGACTTATTGTATCTCATTGTGGCTTATATTGTTTTGTGACTTGTTGTGATTTGTTGGGGCCGCGTTCCCCCCATCTGCCCCCCACATTGCCTGGCGATTCCCAGGTTTCCAGTGGTCGAGGCCGGAAGTGATCCCGTCAGGTCACAAGGCTACCCAAAGGATAGCTAAGTTGATGCAAATAGCGTGGTTACGTGGTTAACGGTTGCAGCGATTAGAAGGATATTAGTCATGATATAATATGCTTTATGTATATGTATAATTATGTATATATATATATTTATCGAACTAGTCAATGTGTTGATAAACATCAACAAACAATTTCTGGGGCCTCGGGCTTCACCGTAGATATTTGTTTATCTATTTGGTTGATTTTGTTGCCATGCTTATCTGAGCAATCAAGATCTACTTGAGGGTGCAGTTAAGGTTATTTTGATGGGTATAAACATGGCAATAATGACCCATGCCTTAAGAAATTATTCCAGGGTATCAACTAGGTTATGGAATAATTTCTTTTGGAATAATTTTCGAGGAATAATTTTTGAGGGGGGTAGGTATACGATTATGCATGTTGGAATTTGAAAATCATGATCCAGCCCGTCAAGATACCCTAGAATAATTAGGTTTTGGAATAATTTTTGGTAACTTAAAACATCTTAAAACATCTTCAAACAGCCTATACGTCCTACATGTGGCCTGGCCTTTCCAAAAGCCATTCCTAGCTTGGCGGTGTTTGCCTGAAAACTTTTTGCTGGAAATGCCAATTGCAGTTATTTAAAGGATCATGCAGTTTGGGCAATTGCTGCCAACCTTTTCTTGCAGCGTACTTGCACGCACAACTAGTGTCCAACGGACCACCTTTCTCTCACGGTACTTTCTCTCGAGAGTTCGTTGGGTGGCAATGAAAGGGAATGTTAGGAAAATACCTAGGAAAAGGCCAGGTTGAGTGCCATTGTGTGGGCTTTCCCAAGGGGGGAGATTATTCTAGGGGTATTGAAGATGCCTGGTACCCCTCAAAAACGAAAGTGGACAGCTAATCACCAAATTAGCCCAGAAATTGGCAAGAATTGTCAAAAAACAAATGAAACCCACACATTTCCCACCCATTCCCACTATGGCCAACGGGAGTTTTTTGGAAGGAAATGAAAGGAATATGGAAGAAATAGGGGGGCGTACGCAAAGTTGGGAAAACTTGTAGGAGAGAGCCAGGTTGGGTGCCATTTTGTGGGCTTTCCCCAGGTGAGAAATTATTCTAGGGGTATTGGAGATGCCTGGCACCCCTCAAAAACAAAAGGGGGCAGTTGCTACAATCACAAAACAAATCCAGAAATTGGCAAAAAAATAAACCAGTGACAACCAAATATTTTCCTTCGCCCACTCATTCCCACTAAGGCCAGAACCACCAAACTAGCCCAGAAACTGGAAAAACATCCAAACCCAATTAAAACCATGTTCAACCAGTGGGTTGCTGAGAGGACATTTGTTTAAAGATACTATGCTGACTCTTCTTGATCCTAGCTGATTATGTTGAAAATTGATTAAATTTGTGCCCCAGCTCTGCAAGAAGGGAAACCGTTTTCGGCCGTTTGCGCGCAGCTGCTTACGATTACTTGCGTTTGGCTAGAAATAGACTATACCGGTATCATTTTGATGGAAATTATTCCATTTTTCCATATATCTCATTGAGTTCTTGGAATGATTTTTTTGTTGAACTCAACGGATGCCGGAATAATACTTTTATTATTCTGAGGTATGTTGAGGGGGGTATCCCCTTAAGGCATCCCTCATTGGTAATATATAACTTAATAACTCCCAAGTTGGCATATATAGCAATATATAGCCATATAATGCCACATGTATATATAACTTATATTATTTATATATATTTATATATATTTCTACAATTGATATACTACAACTTTTATAACTTCTATCATTATATGTCCACTTACACCCGGAACCCTAAACCCCTAGAGTTTGGCGATCCAGCGGTCGAGGCCATGATGGAAAAGAACCTGGGCTGAAGAGTTCTTCGCTGGGCAAACCTACTGTGGATGGTTGCGAAATCCTGCACCACCTGGGATGGTAGAAATATGTAAAAATCCTTTAAATAATAAGATAAACCACCTACTAACTGGTGCAGGATTTCTTAACCATCCACAGTATGTTAATAATGTGCATTTTAACTCATTTTAGCTGGAAAAAAACTGTGTTATGTACATTGTACTATGTTAGATCACGAACAGGTACACTCTAAGCTGTTTGTAAATGGTGATTGCTCGCTGTTCCTGAATTGGATGGTGGGAAACATTTGAAAGGAAACCAGTACAAGTCCTGGTTATTCACCATCAAATAAAAACCCTGTGTTCCTGTAGATGTTCGCAACATAGCAGCTAATCCATTGATCATCAGATTTCTTAGTTATATAAATCCATATAAATCCCATTGAATCCAGGTTTAAAACCCAATCCAGTCCCATCAAAATCTGCCATGGAACGGGCCCTGAGGAATGAAACAAGTGGAGAGACCCTGGCGCCTTCCTCAACCCGACGGTTGAACTTGGGAGTGAAATTCGGGGATTCAAACATGCGAAAAACAAATCTAGATGTACACCCATGTGGAAGTATATCTAGTGTATGACTACTTGTATGTATATATATATATATATTATAGTATATATATATATGAAGAATTCATTTTGTGAAGAAAACAAACATGTCAATTTTGGATTGTTGTTGCGGATCATCTCATAGTTGGTTGATTTACACTCTTAGACTTGCCAGTATCGAATAGTCTAGTGTTTTCTTTGTTTAAAGACATAATACATGTATGTTGCCGCGCGCTCCTTTTACTACACTATCCTGTCACGATACGATGACGTCACTGTAGATGATTTTTTTCGGTAACTATCCCTAAATGGCTGAACTATTGAGGTTGGGCAATGATGACAGAAATATGTTGAATTCACCATATATCCAGATATCCAGATACTTGATGAGCAAAGCATCGAAACGCCACAGTTTCCTTTACTATCCAGTGGTTGGAAGGGAGCAATTCAGAGCTCAGGGTATCCATGTTCCTAACAAAAGATACTGAATATATTAGACATGATCATCTCTCATTCATGGATACCCTCTAGTAAACTAACACAACTATGGAAAATCACCATGTTTCATGGAAAAATCCACTATTTCTATGGCCATTTTCAATAGCTATGTTAAATTACCAGAGGGTATTATCTATATATGGAGGTTTCCAATCCATGGCAGTTACCCCAAATCATCCAAGTCATGAACGACCATGGTTCAATGGTTTACTATTAACATATTAACATCTAAGGTGACGACTGGGGTAGCCCCATTGATGGAACCGCCTTAATATACCCTGGATAAGTATATATATGTACATACATATATATATATATACATGTATATATAATACATATTATATACACATATTATATATATTATATTATAAGTTATATAACAACTATAGTCAACGGACACATATATATTTATTTATCCATCCATCCATTCTATCTCTTTATTTAATTATCTATCTATCTATTTATCTATTCTAATTTGTTCTAATCTATTCTACTCTATTCTAATCTATTCTAATCTATTCTAATCTATGCTAATCTATTCTAATCTATTCTAATCTATTCTAATCCATTAATATATCTATATACACTGAGGCTTTCAGACTCCCCAAACACCTCCACCCAAGAGCCGCGCTGAGATGAAAGCTGGCTGTGCCGCAAGCTATGCTCAGCTGCTGGGAGACATCACCGAGGCCGTTTTCATCTCCATGGGGAGTTTAATGGATTGAAACAATGGAGTTTGATGGATTTAATATAGTATATATGTGTAATTATATTGTAAATCCATTGAAATATCTATAAATATATATATAAATAGATATATATGTATGTATGTATGTTATGTGTATATTATGTGTATATATATATATATATGTATATTGTATGTATACCATTATATTATAGACATACTATAGATTGTATGGTGCATAGACTGTATAGTACTATCTTATACATAATGATTCAATGATGAACTTCACTTCGCTAACGTTGCAGTCTATTATCTTTGATTGGTAAACAGCAGAAGCTCCAATTGCAGAAAGGTTGGATATACCTTCTAAATAGCAATTGTTCATAGGAAAAATAATGATTAACAATTATATTTAGAGGCATATTTTCAGACAAACCCATATTAATATATATATATATGATAGGAGTATAGTTTGTATACTTAGTATTGTCTAGTCACAGTACAGTATAGTACGCTATAGTACGCTATAGTACAGTATAATATAGTATAGTATAGTACCGTATAGCATAGTATAGTACAGTATAGTATAGTATAGTACATGGCATTTGAATACCAAGCGTACTTATACTGATCATCAACGTTGGTTATTGACCCAGTGAGAGGCGGATGGCAGTCATCAACCTCCGATGACCATGATTTTTGATTTTTGATGGGCGTTTCTTGAAAGGGAGGACCCTAAACTCATTACGAAAATGTTTTTTTTGCGCCAAGTTTTCTCAATGGGTCAATGGGAACATCGTTGGTTTCGGGGCGGTATTTGAAATAAACAACTAATCCGGTTGGTGGTTTGCAACATGGCTTTTATGACGTTCCATTCAGTTGGGAATGTCATCATCCCAACTGACGAACTCCATCATTTTTCAGAGGGGTAGGGCTCAACCACCAACCAGATGATTATTAACCATCATTAACCATCATCATAACCATATATATTAAATATATATATATATTAACCATATATTAACAGTATACCACCAACCAGTAATGAAACCTATCGTCTCCAGCGGCGGCTGTCATTTGGGATGATGATCCAGAGATCCAGATTGCGAAAAATCACGGAGATGTCCGCGTAGTATCCGTGGTGCAGGAAAGCCTCTAGTTAATAGCAGTGCTTATGTAGGTAGCGATACCGGGTATCCATATGTATCCATATTCCCAAAAAATATGGCAAGCTGGTTGGAGCGCAATGTTTCACAGAGTTTCTGCAACGCCGCAGATGTATGGAGAGCTTTCAGACTCCAAACTCCAGTGTTTCTTGAAGAGCCTTGGGCAGAAGCGACGGGGTCAGCCAACTGGATGGATAATTTGGTGATACGATCCTCTAGAAGTCCATAATTGATATCATACCAGTATATGTTTATGTGAATAATATATATATACATATACATACATAGTCCCATATATGTATATATATATAGATTGATTAGTACTCTATTTATGTTTGCATGTCTTTAGAATTACAATTACCAGTTGTTTCTTTTGTGCAGGGTATCTAAGATGGACCCAGGTTGTCAGTGGGGAAACTGTGCTGAAGTTTTCTTCCGCACACATCCCATCAGACAGTGTGGAGACTCGTTGATCTGAAACGCTTGGTGAATGTCCAGCACTTGGTTTAGTACAGTACGTAGTACGTAGCTCACATTATATGTTGTTTTTGAAGAGTGGGGAAAGAAGTGGTTTTGACTTGGGTGGGACCCTAGTAAATCAATAGATCTTCTCGCACAATATATATATATATATATACACATATGCTATATATATATATATGTATATGTATATATGTATATAGATATATAATATGAATATCCTAAACCTATGTTTTCAGGGCATGGAGGACCCAAGCTGCTCCTAAGTGACCCAGAAGTTTCGCGCTCAGTACGACCAACAAGACCCACTGGAAACGGTGTGCCTTTGATGCGACCAACTCTCTTCAAAGAGTAGCTTGACAGCAGGGGAGACTTGCGAATGGAGAGGATAAATACCCTCTGGTAAACTAACATAGCCATTGAACATGGCCATTTATAGTGGATTTACCCATTAAAAATAGTGATTTTCCATAGTTATGTTTGTTTACCAGAGGGTATCTAGAAGGTCATGTCTTAAAAGTGCGAATGTTCAGCAAGAAAAGGGATTTGAAGCAAATATGAAGGTTTGTTGGATGATACTAAGCAGCAAGAATCAGTGCGCAATTCCAAGTTACTGTAATTCTTGGTGGTTTTATGGAGCAAGTAGTGTGGTTGTACCTTAATTGGTGTAGTGAGGATTATGGAGGAAATAGTCCAATAGGCACTGCCCGGGTGTGCAAAGTCCTTTTGATTGGTGACCCTGATTGTAGGGAGAAAAATTGTCAGGGGTTTGTCCGAAAATAAGGTGCCTGTTCATTTGATGAAACCAGTCATCACTGTTTCATTTATGAAACCAGTCATTTTGGGGTATCCCACATTATTGACAAAGCCATAGTTGATACTAATTGACTATCCAATGGCATGTTATGGCCATGTTTTTATTGAAAATGGTGGGACCTGTTTATGTGATTTCTTGGTAGTTTTTACATAGACACACCCTTATGAATAGCGCTGACCTCAGCTTGTGGGTAGCTGTCTTTTGAGCCGATGACCAAGATCCCTACTACGATCGAATTTTGAACTATGACTACCCAAAAAAAGATGGTATCGAGGGACTTCAACCTGATTGTTGAGCCGATTACTAAAGATTAATCTTACTATTCCACTTATGATGGCCTAAAATTCCCGAAATTACCAGAAAAATCGTTCATACTGACCCCATCATGATCCACAGACTTGGCAAAAATCGTGCATCCTGTAGGTGACTTCTGCCATCGCACAGGCGAGGATTGCGGAATGGATGGGATCCATGACTGATGGGGGAATGATATACGCCCTATAATAAAAATATTGCCAGTTCAATGGGTGAACGTTGTATTGATAATTATGGTGGGATTTTGTTGTACTCCATTTCCAGACACACCCGGTGCTAACCACCCTCCAATCCAGCATAGATAATCATAGATATGGATTGATATGGAAACCCACCACAAGTGTAGATAATTTGTCTAAGGAACCGTCCAAATCTATGTTAAGTTATCGGAGGGTAGTGGGTTACAAGCAGGGATTCACTACTGTAGGGTATATGATGGATATATTCTACGGAGGAATGGGTTTGGACACCAACCTGTAAATGGGGTCATGCCACATGTGTAACACACCTGGCTGGCCAATCGAGCCTGTAAAAGAAAGTTTTTCCATGGTTATGCATGGGTTTCAACCTTGGTTCAGTTTGACTCTCCTTTCTTTTCTTGGGGTTGCTCCAGGAATTGTCTTGCTGGTGGGAGGTGGAAAGGCTCCAAACATAGACTCAGTGATGGTTGAACTCAGCTCCAGTTTGACATTGATAGAAGAGAAGGATCTGGTAGCAGTAGCACCACTGCCTAGCATTCCCCGTCAAAAAATATTCTTGGTTCATGTCCCAGAATTGGTTTAAGGGACATTTTTCCAGGAATGGCACTAGATGTTTGAATGATTTGAATGGTTAAAATCCCATGGTTTCCGCTCCCTGAGCCAGGCCGCCAACGCAATGTGGCAATGCTTTGGCATCTATTGGGGGTGCCCACCCGTCCGTCGTTGCTTTTTGGGATCAGTTTCTGCAGCGGATGTCCAGTGAACACTCCCCAAAAGATAGAACAAATATAGAAACTTAAAATCCAACCAAGATAGTGATTGATTCCTTTTCCCATCTTGTTAATGGTATGATTTAAGACCTGCTTGCGCAGGCCAGGCCAGGCCAATGCCATGGCTCAGGTGTCATCATTTTGGGTCCCTATCCTGTGGGATATGTCATACAATTCGAGGACGGGATTGTGTAAATCATTGTATAATAGTGTATATAAATTCATATGTATATATATAATATAGTATACAATATATATATATGTATTTATGTATGTGGTATATATATATATATATGTATGAGGTATATATACTGCTTACCACCTTTCACATGCTTTAATATCAAAAATATAAGAGTATGTATATATGATTTAACCATGCTTAACCCCATGTATGATTGAATCCACATTATATATATAAAATTCTTAATCCGCTAATAATCCACTGAGTATATATATATATATATATATGTATATAATCCACTTAGTATAATACATATATATATATATTATATTCTATACCAGTAGTACCCGCACGAGGCGGGGCGGAAGTTGCCTTAAAGATATATATAAGACCTTTCTCATCTATAGAACTTGCATGCGCCGTGCGCCAGCCAAGCCCGTGCGTGCGTGCACTCTGCGAAAGTGGTGTCCTGTTTCACATGTCACATTTGAAGCTCCACTTCGCACTTCGCGCTTCACACTCCACACTTCACACTCCACACTCCACACTCCACACTTCACACTGCACGCTTCCCACTGCACACTCCACACTTCACACTTCACACTTCACACTCCACACTTCACACTTCACACTCCACACTTCACACTTCACACTCCACACTCCACACTTCACACTCCACACTTCACACTTCACACTCCACACTTCACACTTCACGCCCCACACTTCACTCTTCACACTTCATCTCATCTGAGCTCTTCTCACCTTATCCCAGCTCATCTCTTCTCATCTCATCTCTTCTCAAATGTCATCTAAGCTTTCATGAATCACTTCCCAGTACTACTACTAAGGAACTTGCATGCGCCGTGCGCCAGCCAGGCCCGTGCCTGCGTGCTTTGTGCGAAGCTGTTGCAGTGTTGCTGTCCAAGAACATGACCTGCGCGCGACCCCGGTACAATGCAAACACTTTCCTCACACTTCACATTGCACTCTTCACACACCACACTCCACACTTCACACTTGCACTTCATCTCAACTCATCTCATCTGAGCTCTTCTCATCTCATTCCATGTCTTCCCATATGTCAGCTCAGTTCTTCTTGGCTATTTTCATGTCAAGTACTTCCCAGTACTGATGTCTACTACAAAAGCTTGCACAAAGCACTTCCCAGTACTACTGTGTACTACAAAGCTTGCACAAAGCACTTCCCAGTACTACTTTGTACTACAAAGCTTGCACAAACTACTTCCCAGTTCTACTTTGTACTACAAAGCTTGCACAAACTACTTCCCAGTTCTACTTTGTACTACAAAGCTTGCACAAAACACGTTCCAGTACTACTTTGTACTACAAAGCTTGCACAAAGCACTTCCCAGTACTACTTTGTATTACAAAGCTTGCACAAAGCACTTCCCAGTACTACTTTGTACTACAAAGCTTGCACAAAACACGTTTCAGTACTACTTTCTACTGCAAAGCTTGCACAAAACACGTTCCAGTACTACTTTGTACTACAAAGCTTGCACAAAACACTTCCCAGTACTACTTTGTACTACAAAGCTTGCACAAAGCACTTCCCAGTACTACTTTGTACTACAAAGCTTGCACAAAGCACTTCCCAGTACTACTTTGTACTACAAAGCTTGCACAAAACACTTCCCAGTACTACTTTGTACTACAAAGCTTGCGCAAAGCACTTCCCGGTACTACTTTGTACTACAAAGCTTGCACAAAACACGTTCCAGTACTACTTTGTACTACAGAGCTTGCACAAAGCACTTCCCAGTACTACTGTGTACTACAAAGCTTGCACAAAACACGTTCCAGTACTACTTTGTACTGCAAAGCTTGCACAAAACACGTTCCCAGTACTACTTTGTACTACAAAGCTTCTACACACATCAAGTTCTTTCGCAGAGAAGCTTTTACACACAGCAAGCTTTTCAAGCAGAGAAGCTTTTACACACAGAAGCTTTTACACACAACAAGCTTCTTCACAGAGAAGCTTTCACACACAGCAAGCGTTTACACACAGAACACTTACAAACAGTGCTTTTACACATGGCAAGCGTTTACACACAGAAACTTTTGCACACTTTTACACACAGAGAGGCTTTTACACACAGCAAGCTTTTACACACAAAATCTTTTTCACACAGCAAGCTTTCAAACACAGCAAGCGTTTACACACAGAACACTTACACACAGTGCTTTTACACATGGCAAGCGTTTACACACACAGCAAGCTTTTTAAACGGAGAAGCTTTTACACACAACAAGCTTTTACACAGAAAAGCTTTACACAGCAAGCTTTCACACACAGCAAGCTTTTACACACAAAATCTTTTTCACACAGCAAGCTTTCACACACAGCAAGCGTTTACACACAGAACACTTACACACAGTGCTTTTACACATGGCAAGCGTTTACACACACAGCAAGCTTTTTAAACAGAGAAGCTTTTACACACAACACGCTTTTACACAGAGAAGCTTTTACACACAGCAAGCTTTCACACACAGCAAGCGTTTACACACAGAACACTTACGCACAGTGCTTTTACACATGGCAAGCGTTTACACACACAGAAGCTTTTACACAGAGACGCTTTTACAGGGAAGCTTTTACACACAGCAAGCTTTTACAGAAAAAGTTTTTGCACAGAGAAGCTTTCTTGTACATAATCACAACAGGAATTGCAGCTCCAAAACTGAATCTCGACGCCAAAGCGACAAAAAGACGATTTTGAAACACTTTTTAAAAAGGAATTTTAAAAGGAAAATTATTAGCGCCAAAATTGAGAAAATCTGCTGACAAATCACTTTCGCAGCCTTGATGCAGCCATTCCAATACGATTTACGATCTTCAGCTGCAAAAGACAATAGTATTACGCATGCAGCCGCTGCACCAAGCAACCTTGACGCAGCCACTCCAATGCGATCTGCAGTGACTCAGTTGCAAAGCACAATAGAACTACGCGCAACGGCATCGGAAACTGCAGCTCCAAAACCGGATGGATCTCGACGCCAAAGCGAAAAAAAGACGATTTTGTAGCACTTTTTAAAAGGATTTTTAAAAGGAAAATCACTAGCGCCAAAATGGAGAAAATCTGCTAACAAATCCACTTCGCAGCCTGGATGCAGCCACTCCAATACGATTTACGATCTTCAGCTGCAAAAGACAATAGTATTACGCATGCAGCCGCAGCACCGAGCAACCTTGACGCAGCCACTACAATGCGTTTCGCAGCATCCCGTAGCAAACCTGCACCTATCTACGGACGTGGCAACATCAAATGACGACAATGAAGCAGCCATTCCAATGCAATCTGCAACTAGAGATTCAAGAACCGCATGGAACTACGCACACAGACACAACCACTCGTTGCAAAACATATAGGAGGAACAATTCGCGCACAAAACGACCGCAGCCGCACCCGTCGCACAGACGAGGTACCTTTCATCGTCGCCTCCAGCCACCTTACACGGAAAAACACAAGGTTTCGTGCTCCGGCTTCCTCCCCACAACATAGCCCATGCAACATTCATGCAGCCATTCTAATGCGATCTGCAACCAGAGCTGCAAGAAACGCATAGAACTACGCACACAGGAGCAAGAATTCTTGCAAAACACATAGGAGGAACCAATCGCGTCCGGAACGACCGCAGCCGCAACCGTCGCACACACGAGGTACCTTTCATCGTCGCCTGCAGCCACTTTAGACGGAAAAACACAAGGTTTCGTGCTCCGGCTTCCTCCCCAAAACATAGCCCATGCAACATTCATGCAACCATTCCAATGCGATCTGCAACCAGAGCTGCAAGAAACGCATAGAACTACGCACACAGAAGCAAGAATTCTTGCAAAACACATAGGAGGAACCAATCGCGTCCGGAACGACCGCAGCCGCAACCGTCGCACAGACGAGGTACCTTTCATCGTCGCCTCCAGCCACTTTACACGGAAAAACACAAGGTTTCGTGCTCCGGCTTCCTCCCCAAAACATAGCCCATGCAACATCATGCAACCATTCGAATGCAATCTGCAACCAGAGCTTCAAGAAACGCATAGAACTACGCACACAGGAACAAAGATTCTTGCAAAACCCATAGGAGGAACCAATCGCGTCCGGAACGACCGCAGCCGCAACCGCCGCACAGACGAGGTACCTCTCATCGCCGGCTGCAGCCACTTTACACGGAAAAACACAAGGTTTCGTGCTCCGGCTTCCTCCCCACAACATAGCCCATGCAACATTCATGCAACCATTCCAATGCAATCTGCAACCAGAGCTTCAAGAAACGCATAGAACTACGCACACAGGAACAAAGATTGTTGCAAAACACATAGGAGGAACCAATCGCGTCCGGAACGACCGCAGCCGCAACCGTCGCACAGACGAGGTACCTTTCATCGCCGCCTCCAGCCACTTTACACGGAAAAAACACAAGGTTTCGTGCTCCGGCTTCCTCCCCAAAACATAGCCCATGCAACATCATGCAACCATTCCAATGCAATCTGCAACCAGAGCTTCAAGAAACGCATAGAACTACGCACACAGGAACAAAGATTCTTGCAAAACCCATAGGAGGAACCAATCGCGTCCGGAACGACCGCAGCCGCAACCGCCGCACAGACGAGGTACCTCTCATCGCCGGCTGCAGCCACTTTACACGGAAAAACACAAGGTTTCGTGCTCCGGCTTCCTCCCCACAACATAGCCCATGTAACATTCATGCAGCCATTCCAATGCGCACCACTTCCCTTCGTCACCACTTCCCTTCGTCACCACTTCCCTTCGTCACCACTCCCCTTCTTCACCACTTCCCTTCGTCACCACTCCCCTTCATCATCACTTCCCTTCTTCACCACTTCCTTTCGTCACCACTTCCCTTCCTCACCACTTCCCGTCATCACCACTTCCCTTCCTCACCACTTCCCATCGTCACCACTTCCCTTCCTCACCACTTCCTTCGTCACCACTTCCCTTCCTCACCACTTCCCTACCTCACCACTTCCCTTCGTCATCACTCCCCTTCATCACCACTTCCCTTCTTCACCACTTCCCTTCCTCACCACTTCCCTTCGTCACCACTTCCCTTCGTCACCACTTCCCATCGTCACCACTTCCCATCGTCACCACCTCCTTTCGTCACCACCCTCTGTCATAGCTTCCTTATTCTATGTGATGTACCACCCTTCATCAAGGTCAATTCCATAGATTCTTATTCTTTTGTTATGTATTGTTATGTTATGTATTGTTATGTGATGTACCACCCTTCATCAAGGTCAATTCCATAGATTCCTATTCTTTTGTTCTTGTATTGTCATGTTATGTATTGTGATGTGATGTACCACCCTTCATCAAGGTCAACACCATAGATTCTTATTCTTTTGTTATGTATTGTTATGTTATGTATTGTTATGTGATCTACCACCCTTCATCAAGGTCAATTCCACCGCTTCTTATTCTTTTGTTATGTCTTGTTATGCTATGTATTGTTAGATCACGTACCACCCTTCATCATAGTCAATTCCATCAAGTAAAAGTCATTCGTAACTCGGAAGTATTGCTTCCCAACTTCCTTTGATAATTAGTTATATTCTATATCATAATATAATTATATGTATATATAACTGTATAGAAACATGCATAATTACTGTATCCAAATTTGAGGCCAACCATCTCCACATTCTCCGATTCAGCGAGGTGCTCACAGCTGATGAACACGGCCTATTCTCAGTTGGTGAAGGCGAGCAGCGGTGACGAACCTGGGAAGCTGGTGCCGTGTTGGTGAATTCTCAGGAGACTATGGAGGTTTATAGCTGGGGCTGGGGAAGAAAAAACGAACCACATATTTTTGGGGGATTTTCCAGCACACCAGGTTTGATCACCGGAGAGCATGTTTAGTTGAATATGCACCAGCTGATGATTTTTATTGTGTTCTGATGATGTTATGATTGATATTCCTATATAGTACATGTATGCACTCCCAAAAAGATTGAGTTTAGTAAATTATGAATCTAAAAAAGTGAATTACGGTTCTATCGTTTTGCGGTGTATGTTATTTATATCTTATGCTGCTAGCTCCAGTGAGTGTCCAAGGCGCTGGAAAGCCATTCACGGTGCAATTTTTTTGGGTCAGAGAGTCAAACCCGTTGAATTCAGCTCTTTCAGGTATAGGATTAAAAAAAGAAAAATGTATGTTGTTGATGAGCTTTTCTGAAGAGCTAGCCTCACTTTTCTGGGCTAACCCATGAAGCATTTCCATGGTGGACGTTTGACCCAGAGAGTTTGCAATCCCCAGGCAATGGTTGCAAGCGAAGAGATGCTACTTGGATCAGATCCGACGGACAGCAGTGGAAGGATGCGAGCAGTTTGCCATGAGAAAATGGTGCGTTTATGGAAGGCAAATTCATGAAAGGAAGAAATACCTTCTGATTACTGTAAACCATTGGAGAATAACACAGTTTTTTCCGGATTCCCTTTCACCTAATGTTAAACACCCTCCCAGAAACCATAGTTTAGGAGGGAAATTACACTTTAGTGGGTGTTTGGTATTGAGGGAGTTGGATGAAAACTGAAATGCCCAAGTCGTTGGGGGCGTAGAAATGGCTTTGTCCAAGAATGGGTACCATTTATCCCAAATCCACTGGTTAAACATAAATTTCCCCATGAACAATGGCGAAGACTGGAGGTATTTCCTCGTTTTCAGGCACACCCAAATTCTCAAAGCCGCCGTAGTGTAGTGTCTTCGCCGGATAGGTTCAAGGGACAGTTACAAGAAGACAAGAAACACTCATAATTTGAGCGGAAAAACCATGCTTTCAGGTAGCTTTTGCTTCAAAGCAATCCGGTTGGTGGTTTCAGATATTTTTGTCATGAATTTGATGATGATCCCCAATGACAGGCAATTTCATCGGTTGAAGCCACCAATCCGTCAACATATATTTATATAGTCATCCAGATGGTTCAGTCTGTATTGTCGATGGTGAAAAGCATTATCATATTCATCATATAATATAGTTATATATATATAGTTGATTATAGTTGTATTATATATTCCCTACAGATTGCCCATCAAATCCAAGCATTGCTTAGGTCCGACAATTGCAACGAAGAGACCCACAACATTTGCAAGCCTTTCGCCTTCAAGGTGCAATCCCGGGGTTAAACTCCAATCACTGGCCGTGCCAATGCCACAATGGGTTCATGGGAATTCGAATGGGATTCGAATGGGACATGAATGGGATTTAGCAGTTGGTTTTTTTTGACATTGGGGTATACCGCATTTTATACTTGGGATGATTTAGACATTCATAAAGAAAATCACCCCAAAATTCTTGACCCCCAGTCATGGTTGGTGATTGGGTGACAATGACATTGGGGTTTACCGTAATGTTTACCATATGAAACTCATATGGAGGTTTCCTAAGTCATGGGGCTACCCCCAGTCATCATCCATTTATTAATGGGATTTTCCCATGAAATAAACCATCCAGCTATTGGGGGTAGCCCCATTTTAGGAAACCCCCGTATTAGCACAACGGAAGGCTTCTAGTTCAGTTGGATAACAACATCCCTTGCTGCATTGATCCTGGCGGTAGGCGATGGGTGCATTGAGTCAAGCAGCAGGTGGACCTGGGAAACTTGTGTTACGACCCCACCAAATGTTGGATTTCGTTGGCTATATTAAAACCATTAAACCCATTAAAACATATAAGCATAAAAAACATATTAAGTATTATATATGTGGTTGGTTAATATATATATATGTTAAATATTAAATATGAATTTTAAATATTAAATATATTTTTGGTTGGTTAATATATCCCATATAAACATATTAAAACATCAAATATCACCAGATGGTTGGGATAGGGGAACCAATGGGAACCAGCTTATTTCTGACTTGGGAACCTGTCGGATTTCTCCATTCCTTTGTGTCATCCAACATGGCTAGGAAATTCACCATCGGAGGTTTGTGTTGGGAAAATAATTAAATCCATCAATAGAGGTTTTTGTTGCTGGGAAAGTCATTGTTAACTAAATGGGGAGATTGTCCATTGCCATGTCATCATGTTTGACTACTGGGTATGTGTCTGGTGTGCAGCTGAATGGCTAATATCTTCCGACAGAGATGTTGCAGCTTCCATTGTCGCCACATCTCTGTACACACTCAAACATGTAGTATGCTTGGTGATCAGCATCGGAGCTAGAGTTTCAAGGGAATTGCTGTCAAAAAATTAGCAACACTCACTTTGGATTTGTTTGTTTTCCCTGCACCAGTACAGGGTTATATAATGTTATATATACATACATACATACATACATACATACATACATACATACATACATACATACATACATACATACATACACACATACACACATACACACATACACACATTACATACATTACATACGTTACATACGTTACATACGTTACATACGTTACATACGTTACATACGTTACATACGTTACATACATTACATACGTTACATACATTACATACATTACATACATTACATACATACATTACATACCATACATACATTACATACATTACATACATTACATACATTACATACATTACATACATTACATACATTACATACATTACATACATTACATACATTACATACATTACATACATTACATACATTACATACATTACATACATTACATACGTTACATACGTTACATACGTTACATACGTTACATACGTTACATACGTTACATACATTACATACATTACATACATTACATACATTACATACATTACATACATTACATACATACATACATACATTATTATATATATATACACGCACATACATACATAATTATTTATATATACGTACATACATACATACATACATACCATTACATACATACATACACACATACATACATACATACATACATACATACATTACATACATACATACATACATTACATACATTACATACATTACATACATTACATTACATTAATACATACATACATACATTACATTACATTACATTACATTACATTACATTACATTACATACATACATTACATACATACATTACATACATACATTACATACCATACATACATTACATTACATTACATACATACATTACATACATACATTACATACCATACATACATTACATACATTACATACATTACATACATTACATACATTACATACATTACATACATTACATACATTACATACATTACATACATTACATACATTAAATACATTACATACATTACATACATTACATACATTACATACATTACATACATTACATACATTACATACATTACATACATTACATACATTACATACATTACATACATTACATACATTACATACATTACAAACATTACATACATTACATACATTACAAACATTACATACATTACATACATTACATACATTACATACATTACATACATTACATACATTACATACATTACATACATTACATACATTACATACATTCCATACATTACATACATTACATACATTACATACATTACATACATTACATACATTACATACATTACATACATTACATACATTACATACATTACATACATTACATACATTACATACATTACATACATTACATACATTACATACATTTCATACATTTCATACATTACATACATTACATACATTACATACATTACATACATTACATACATTACATACATTACATACATTACATACATTACATACATTACATACATTACTACATTACATACATTACATACATTACATACATTACATACATTACATACATACATTACATACATTACATACATTACATACATTACATACATTACATACATTACATACATTACATTACATACATTACATACATTACATACATTACATACATTACATACATTACATACATTACATACATACATACATACATACATACATACATACATCATACACACATTTCCACATATGTTTTTTGTCCGCATATAGTGTAGAGTATCATGTGCGAAACGCACACCTTAAAGTGAACTCTGCCAGGACAGATGAGCTCTGCTAGTCAGGATTGTGACATCAAAGGAGGACAGAGGGTGCCATGGGGTCCCCCAATTGCAATGGCCACCGGTGACCCTTTCAGCAGCAAAACCAGGGTTTAACCCAGAAAAATCCATGATTTATAATGATTTATATGGGTGATTTATCCATATTTATCAAAAAAATATGGGAAGCATAGCCGCAGTCGGTGGCGCCCCCCAACCATTATCCCATGTTCTGAGTGGTATATGTTTTTTTCCAAACCTAGTTTGATATACCTCTCATAAACCCAACAGCTAAGGCAGCTAAGCCAGGCAATGTCACAAACCAACTTATATCTAAGGTGATGCCCCAACTCTTTAGCTAAGTTGGTCTGCAAGATTACCTAGGCTTCAGGGTGATGACATAACTATAGTTGGGGCAACATAAACCAAAAAATATCACTGCGGGGGTGGTTTTTGGATCCCCTGTCAAGTCGCTATACTATAGTGTATCATGGGAATATTATGATAATATAATATTAATAATGTGTAAAAACAATAATAAACCATCCATTTGGGAATGGTTTATACCACCTATTTATTGTTTTACCAACATAAATATGTTCTATTCTATTTATATATATATATTATACATATTACTTGTAGATCCACAAATATGGTGAACTAGATTCCATGGTATTTTACAGTTTACAGGGTCTCAGATGATGGGACCTCCATTCCCATGGTCGAAAAAGTGGTTCCGAACATGGGAGTAGTATGGGAGTATGGAAATAGGCGTCCCATCATTGTGAGTCCTTATAATTTCCACACTATATACAGTGTGAACTGGAGTATATAATCATATTCCCATTGATTATCATATTCCACACATGAATCATGTTGATATATGTTGAATTATGTTGATATCATGATTTTTCATGATACTCCCATTCCGGTGGGGGGAAATGGTGAACCGCAATATGGCTGTGATTCAAACCCTGGCACCCGGATGGTAGCGTAAGTCATATCTGGGATTTGTGGATGCTGATTCTCATAGTCATAATATGGGTAATTTCAGTCATTGGATTGGTTTAAGGGAAAATCTACAGGAAACCATGGTTTTTACCATCAAATATAGGGCTTTCCTGTAAATTTTCCCATCATCCAATTCTATGATTCAGAGGTTTTGACCCATCATGATCTGAACTAATTCATCATATTCCCATTGTCACTATATTATGGTTCACCATGATGATACGCTTTTCATATGTTGAACTAATTATCATCACATTCCCAAAGATTACTGGTGAACTAATATAACGATATATAACGCATATCACTTACTGTATCATGGCTAATCATCATATTCCCAATGATATCATAAGTAAGTTAACTAATATCATTTGATAAATATAGTTAAGAATGAGTTACTAATAATACATACCTTTATTAGTTCACCATCATTATATAATTATATAAGTATATATATATATATTGTTAACACAGGATATATTAGTTCACTACAGTAACCATAGATATACGTATGTATATATATATAAGGTATGGTTACTTATATATATATACATATATATATATCATAATATATACACCACAGTAACTTATATAACCATATATATATAATTATAAATATTAGTTCACAATAAATAAATATATATATATATATACATGACAACTAATCAATTTAGCCACCCCTTTGGCGATCTCACCGCCAGGCTCCCAGGACTCGCCCTTGAATCCCTATGCGGCGACACCCTTCGAGAAACGGGAGGACCCGGTTTCAAGTCACCGAAATCATGGGGAAAAACATGGCGAACACCAGGTCAAAAAATGGGGTATAGCCATAATTTATATAATTTCTAAGTGATCTGTGGCTAGATGATCTAGATGTTAGCTATGCTAAGTTGCTTTAGTTCACGAATTAATTTCACCACGTTAATGGCCATAGCGAACTAGCCAATGGGGTCTATAAATC